ATATATAAATTAATTATATATATAAATTAATTATATATATATATATAATAAAAAAGGAAATATTTCGCGTTTTTTAACACGCGTTTTTCATTGGCTGACAGTAATGCAGTAGGCAGTGCAAAATAGGAATTGTCCATTTCGGTGAAGTATTGTTACTTTTATTTTATACTCTTATAGCCTTACTATTTTTATTATAGATTGGCTCTAAACTTTATTGTGGCAGGTCTCAATCTTTTCTTTGCTGCTAATATAATATGTTTTCTGTTAAATGTCAACATAATTGTAGTAGTAGCCAATCAAACGCCTTGTTTTTTGTAATAAAATAAATCTGATAATAACAAACTTATTGTTTTTTGTGTAAAGCTGAGAACAAAAAAAATGTAAGCAGTAAAACTTAAACATTAAACAAATCAACCGATATAAATTTTTCTTTCTGATTCTTTTGAACATAGCTTATATTTGAGAAGATACCGACTTGTGATTGTTTGATTTTAAGTCTTACCACTTAAATTACTGCTTAAGTTTTTTTATGTGCTCCCGGCTTAACAATCTAGCTTTTTAACGCCATCACAGAAGTAAATGTAGGAACTACATAGTCATATTTATTTTCAGGAACAGCTGATAAAATGCATTTGGTTTGAGTCCTGTTTCATCTCTACATTTTTTGATATTATTGATTGCTATTTTTGATGTACGAATCGAAATTTATGCGTTTAGAAACGCATTCAAAAATCTGCACAATAAAAATTAAAAAAGAACGATTAAAAGTTAAGTAAAATTAAATAGAACTTATAAAAATAGTAAAAAAAGGTATATTTTTATATTTTATGTACACATATAAATTAAGTTTGCTTATATTGCCGAGAAAAATTAAATAATGTTTGTAAATAATTTAGAACATTGTTAATTTGTATAAAGACAATTTATTTTAAAAAATATATCTTAATTTAAAAGTACGTGTGCGAGTAATATATTTAAAAAAAAGTTAAGCTAAAAAGAAAATTTTTATTTTAATGTCAAGTAAAAGTGTTTTTATAAAAATTGTAACACATTAACTTTATTTGAAGTTTATTAAATTTATTACTTATTTAATAAAGAAATATTACATTATTATATTAACACACAACATTATGCGGGAAAGCTATTAAAACACCGCAGTGTTAACATCAATTATTATCTTTATTATCCAGTGTTAACACAACAATTATTATTAATTATTATTCTTTTCTAAAAATAATAACCGCTTTTGATATATTTTTGAAAGACAAAAAGAAAAAGATTTAAACAAGATTTCAATAAAAACGCTCTAATAAGAAAATTAATATAAATAAGTTGTAGATATAATAAAAAAAAATATAAATATAATATAAATATAAATATAGATATAAATATAAATATAAATATAAATATAATAAATATAAATAAGTTATAGAAACTGTTGTAGAAACAAATAAAATGTAAAAATATAATGTAATGTAAGTTTAAACATACAAATATACTATCGTAATATTAGACAAAAATATAATAATTAGTAATACTTATTTGATTGGACTATTGGTGAACGTAGGTGGTTAATATTATAGTATAACAGTTTTCTATAAAGTAATTGTATTTCCGAGTCAGAAATTAACCTTTAAAAGCTATAATATAAAAATCACATTAATGCTATCATGAGTGAAATTTTACTTCAGTATATATTTTTTTTTATCATAGAAATAAAAAAAGTCGTCAAAAAAGTTTGATCGTATGAATAATACTCATAAAATTAGTATTGCCAGTAGGTGTTTTTTAATGACATTAAAACGAAATTTTCATACGGTGAATTTTCACCTTTCAAGGATTAATTACGAAAATATAATGTGATATCAACGAAACCGTATTTACGTATAAATCGAAAATTCTTGTATTTTTAAACTTAAAAAGTTTTTACATTGCGTGAATCCATTCAGTGTATCGTGACACGCGCGTTTCGACGCTTCTAGGTGGCACACGCGCGATCCCGCGCTTCAGTATTGCTTGGTCTTTCGTTGGAGCGTGTTGCGGTGTCTGTGCAGATCAACACAGATTAAAGTATATAGTGTTTTCGTGTCGCAAAAATCGTCAAGCGCAAGTGATATCGTTATTTAGAAGTTACTTCGATACCGATAGTTGAATTTGAACAGATTGCCGCGTACATGTATCGGTTATTCGTGAAGCGTGCAAGATTTTCGAACTGTTTTGTATTTGTTTTTAATTTGTTTTAATTCCATTAGTTTTTGTTTTATTTTCTGGAAGAATGTAGTATCATAAGAGTGTTTGTAAGAAGCAATACCATTGACATAATTCAATGTTTTGTATTTACTGATATCGTTTCTACTTTATTACAAAAAAATTTGTGGATATATGTAATATATGACGAGTAATTAGAGCAGCGTGTTCAAGTGGTTTAACTCTTGGGGTTGGCGCCAACTTCACACTACATAAAGCAGTTCGCGCACAATGCAGTCCCTTTTAGGGGCGCTGATCAACAAGTAGTTCGCACGTACACATGTTCGTGTTCGCGAACGAGACATTATTCGCGTGAGTTTTTCGCGTCGAGGTTACGCTCGCAAATATGTGACTGTTACGACAATTTTAGTGTTTCCAGTCTGTTTCTTGTTTTCGCGTAATAACTTCAAAGCAGAAACGATTTTCACAGTGATAGACGATATTCTCGCGTTGTGTCGAAGCGATTTATCGTTGCTCCTCCTGCGAATGAAATGTTGCGAGTTAGTATAATAACTTAGATCATTTTTAGGGAAAGACTGTTTACATATAAATAAAGTGGATCGTTAAATTGCCCTAAAAGAACAGCATAAATTTAAAGATTTAAGTTAATGGACTCAATTGATGCATATCATTTGTTCGGACTTTTGAAGTTCAGTGTGAGACGTGAGAGATTATACGTGCTTCGAAACGTTTGTCGCGTTTCCGTTTCACAGTGAGCCATTATCGTGAACACATCAGTAAAATGTTCTGCTGTGAAAAATTGCCATGAGACAAAAAAAAAGAAGCCAACATTGTGTGAAAATGTGATTCGACTCTACGACGGTGCGAATTACGTTGATTCGTTAGAAAGTTCGCGAAATCATTTTAATCGCGAAAGCGAACGGAAACAAACGCGCTGGGAACGCAGTCGGTACCGATAGCAAGGCTCTATAAGGTGGCGGTGACGTCAATGCACATTTGCGCGCGAATCTTCGCGTGGGCATGGGATCTTTTTGTCGGTAGCGCAGCGTACCCGATGCAGCAAGTAAGTTTATTATCCGCTTTTAAGTTCTCAGTTTCTCTTGATGACAACTAAAGGAAAGATGGCAGAGGAAAATAGCAATATGGAAAAATGTAGGGTAAATGTACAGAAAAGGTCACCCCCCTCCGATTTCAATGAGCTTGACATATGTTGTCAAGGACACCTTCCTGAGTAACAATCCGTAAATTTTAGCCGTCGCTCGTTGTTAATAAAAAAGTTATGAACAATTGAAGTTTGAAAACTAAGGCT